ACATGCGAGCTGCGGAAAAACATTCGGTTCGGATATTTCAGATCCGAAATGTAATTCGGTTTGGGTTTCGGATTAGGCCGAAATTAGAATTGTTGTTTGTTTCGGATGAGTCACAGAAAACCATCTACAGATATTAATACTAAAACCGAATCTCCCAGACCCGAGAGGCATTCGGGATCTGAATCTCCCAAGTGCATTGTGGGGCTCCCTAATGCCATTCGGGTCTGGGAGCCTCAGCTTTAGTATCATATGTATATACTGTATATGGCTCCCATGTTGCAGTAATGAAAATTCGTGTTCTGACCCATTCGGAGGCATTAAACCGAAAAACACATCCGATTGAGCAGATTAAAAAGAAGAACAGCATTCATAGAGTTGTTTATTCCTTTAAAAGAAGAACTATGGGGGTCAGTGTTTTCCCCCATAGTTCTCCTTAGGGTAACAGGAGGACACAAACTAGCCTCCTCCCGTTACCCTAAGCTCAGTATATAGGGAGCTGCAGCTCGCGGTATACTGAGACGCCGCAGCGGATCCCGACAACTATGCCTGGATCCGCCCAGCGGCGTGAGTGACAGCTGGCCCTGCCTATCTAGAGGCAGAGCCAGCTGTACCCGCCCCCTCCCCCGTCCGATCCGCCAGTCAGCGCTGGCAGATCGGAGCGGGGAGGGGGGAATCCAGTCCCTCCCGTCACGGCAGAGAGCTGTGACAGGATCGAGAAGTGAGCGAACACCAGTATGTGTTCGCTCACCTCCCGATCTACTGAGCCGACCTGTGACAGTCTCATTGTCACAGGTCGGCTAGAACTATGAGGTGAGTGAAAAGCACCCCCCCTCATAGTTCTCCTTTACATATAATACAATTTATTGTACATGCGGCTAGTAGAAGTACATGATTGTCTTGGTATTCCCTCGGCACTCAGACTGGGAGGAGCAGTGCCGGGAGCCAACCAGCTTTGCTGCATGCACATGTTCTGATGGAGGGCGGTTGATATTGTTGCTCCTTCATTGCCCAGTCAGCAGGCTGCGGACACCCAACCAATGTCGTCAGTACTAAAGATTTAGGCAACTCACCCGACATTCGCCCTAAATTTGCTTAATTTTTTTTTTGTGAACATTCACTTTGTTTTATACCAAATAAGCAGATTCACCCAGTGAGACCGACCTTTTCTTTACTGTACTCGCTGCAAAATCCTCCTGTTCTTACATTGAGGCACGCACAGTCTTATGCTGCCGGGTTATATTGCGCCCTACAGGAGGACTGGACACTGGCAAACAATACTGTAGGCTAGTCCAGGATACACCCCTCCCTCCCCCACCAGTTCACGGCTGTACTGTGTGGCAGAGGTTTATGAAATCACAAAAGCGGCCAGACAGAATTTCAAATCCACACCAGGCAAGACAAGCAGTCACCTGTACAACGTGCGCCATACTTTGCTAGTCCTTCTTTCCCCACCACCGGAGTCCCTAGCGCAAGGGTAGGCAACCTTTCCACTCCAGCTGTGGTGAAACT